TCCCTTTTACCGTCTCTTCCCCTACCGCACTGCCCCTCTCCCCCCCCCGCCGCTCTTCCTCGCTCCAGGTGCTCCCCAGGTAGACCCCCTCCCCGCTCCCGGTCCTGCTCCTTCAGGTGTGTCTCAGGTAGACCCTCCTCCCTTGACTGCGCCGGTTGAGGTCACTGGTGACTCAGGTCCTGCTGAGGGTGGTCCTGCTCGGGGTGCTGCTTCTGGGGGTGCTGAGCCTGGGGGTGCTGAGCCTGGGGGTACTGAGCCTGGGGGTGCTGCACCTGGGGGCGCTGAGGCGTCTGGTGAGCAGTCTCCCTGGAGCGGCCGTCTCCGTAGTCGCTCCGCTGGTACCTCGCCGCTGCACTCTCGTCGTCGACTCCCTCTCTCCCCACAGCAGCTGCGTGAGTGGTACGTTGGCCTTCAGGGTCGCACTGCTGGAGCTAGGGGCCCTGCTGCGGGAGGCGCTGGAGCTGGTGACTCTGCTACTGGAGTTGTTTCTGCTGGAGGTTTTGGAGCTGCTGAGGGTGCTGGAGCTAGAGGTTCTAGAGCTGCTGAGGGTGCTGGCGCTGGAGGTTCTGGAGCTGCTACGGGTGCTGGCACGGAGGGTTCTGGGTCTGTTGTTGCGCGGTCTCCTTGGAGTAGCCGCCTTCGTGTGCGTGTGCCTCTCACCTCACAGCAGCTACGGTCGTCGTCAGGGTCGCGCTTCTAGAGCTCGGGGCTCTGCCGCTGGAGGTACTTCTGCTGACGTCACTGGAGCTGGGAGTGGTGCTGGTCCCGGAGGTGCTCGTACTGGAGGTACTGGAGCTGCTAGGCTGGAGGTGCTGAGCTTGAGGGTGCTGCTGCTGGAGACACTGAGGCTGGAGACCCTGGGACTGGAGGTGCCGGTTCTGGGGGTGCTGCTGCTGGTGGAGCTGGTCCTGGAGGAGCTGGAGCTGAGGGTTCTGGAGCTGCTGGAGGTGCTGGGGCTGCTGGGGGTGCTGGAGCTGCTGGTGCTGGTAGCACTGCACAGCCGCACCTGTTCTTTGCTCCACCGTCTCCGTCGTCTCAGCCACCGTCTGACTCTGTGCTTCGCTAGGTTCTTAGTCTCCCTTCGTCTACTGGTCTTCCGTTACAGCCTGGCTCACCACTGCCTGCTCCTTCTCCTTACACTGAGCAGACAGAGGGTCTTACTGAGAGTCGTGAGCCTGCGTCGTGTCCTATCTCGCCTGTCCGTTCTGGTCGTTCCGGTCGTCGTGTTCCTCGTTCGTGTCAGCCGGCTGTCCCCGGCACCCACCTTGTAGTCCGTCGTCCTTCCTCTCCTCTGCAGAGTGTTCTCCTGCCGTCCCCTCCTGCGTCTTCTCTGCCTACTGTTCCTGAGCCTGAGTCTGACCGCGCTCGTGCTGCTCACCCTACTGTCACGCGTCTGCTAGCCACAGTTGTCACTGACCCGTCGTTTGAGTCTACTGCTGCGTCTGCCTTAGTCGCTGAGCTTGTTGACTTTGCTGCTGCCTGTCGTCTAGACTACGCCGCTAGTCTTGTTGCTGAGTCTGAGTCTGTCTGTCCTCCGTCCGTCGGGGGTGAGTGTGCTCTTGGCACGGACGTCCTTGAGGACTAGCAGGAGGACCTTGAGTGTCTTGCAGCCGCTGCGCCTCATCTCGTGTCCATGCTGCTTGCCCCTGAGGGAGACCCGGATGCTCCAGACATCCCGACCCCGCGCTCTTACGCTGAGGCGATCGTGGATGACTACTCCTCTCAGTGGCAGACAGCCATGGACGCAGAGATGGCATCCTGGAAGTCCACAGGCACGTACGTCGACGAGGTTCCCCCTCCTGGGGCGAACATCGTCAGTGGCATGTGGATTTTCAGGGTGAAGCGGCCGCCAGGTTCTCCGCCTGTCTTCAAGGCTCGTTACGTTGCTCGAGGTTTCAGTCAGCGAGAGGGAGTTGACTTCTTCCATACCTTCTCCCCCACCCCGAAGATGACCACTCTTCGGGTGCTGCTGCACGTTGCCGCTCAGCGTAACTACGAGCTTCACTCTCTTGACTTCAGCACAGCTTTCTTGCACGGCAGCCTGCACGAGGAGATCTGGCTGCGCCGCCCGCTTGGCTTCACTGGGTCGTTCCCTCCTGGTACCCAGTGGAGCCTCCGGCGGCCGGTCTACGGTCTCCGCCAGGTGCCACGTGAGTAGCACGACACACTGAGGACGACACTTGCGGCTCTTGGGTTTGCTCCGTCGACTGCTGACCCGTCGCTGTTTCTGCGCACCGACACTTCGCTATCGCCGTTCTACATCCTCGTGTACGTCGACGACTTGGTCTTTGCCACTGCTGACACTGAGGCTCTCACCCTGGTGAAGTCGGAGCTGCAGAAGAGACACACGTGCACAGACCTGGGTGAGCTGCGTAGTTACCTTGGCTTGCAGATCACCCGGGACAGAGCACGCCGCACCATCACCCTGACTCAGTCACACATGGTGCAGCAGGTCCTTCAGCGCTTCGGCTTCACCTGGTCCTCGGCACAGGCCACTCCTCTGGCTACAGGTCACTCGCTCTCAGCTCCACTTTCGGACGAGTCCGTAGAGCCGAGTGGTCCTTACCCAGAGCTAGTTGGCTGCCTCATGTACCTGATGACCTGCACTCGTCCTGACCTCGCGTACCCTCTTGGCCTTCTGGCTCGCTACGTGGCTCCTGGTCGGCATCGAAAGGTGCACATGGATGCTGCTAAGAGGGCACTGCGCTACTTGTGCAGTACATCGGGCATGGGGCTCGTGCTTCGAGGACGGGGCGACGTTGTCCTCACTGGTCACTCGGACGCTTCTTGGGTTGACGACCAGGCTACGCAGCGGTTGTCACAGGGTTACACCTTCAGCCTTGGCTTTGGTTCAGTTTCTTGGCGTTCTACACGCTCGTCTTCAATTCTCAGCTCCAGTTGTGAGGCTGAGATCTACGCCACAGCCATGGCTGCACAGGAGTTACGCTGGCTCACCTACTTGCTGACCGACTTGGGAGAGCGGCCTCGTTCTCCTCCAGTGCTGTACGTCGACAACAAGGCCGCCATTGCCTTGTGTCAGGAGCACAGACTGGAGCACAGAACGAAGCACATTGCTCTGCGTTACTTCTTGGCTCGAGAGTTGCAGCATCGTGGTCAGCTTCGTCTTGCACACGTGGCCACTCGGGCCAACACTGCTGATATATTCACCAAAGCACTTCCGTCTGGTGATCATCAGCGTTTCTGCACTTTGTTAGGCCTTGTGCCCACTTTTCCTCACTTGCTGTAGACTTTGCTTATACTGTGATCTATATATATTCCTGCATGCTTGCTCTGCTAAGTAGAGATCACTGTACTATTGTTGTTGCATATATACCTCTGCTTGTGAACTGGCCTTGTGGCCCTTTGCTTGTGCTCAGTGTGTGTGGTGACGTTGTGATCCACCCTGAGCTTGCTTTGCTTCTCTTGACTGGTCTTGTGACCCCTTACTCTCCCCCACTTTGCCTATGGGGGTGTGTCAAATTATATGCCTATGTCATAATAGAATGTAGGCTTTAATGGGGTAGCTAATGTAGGGTATAGTTTTTTGTTACTTGTACCCAACTTTCTCGATAGTGCACCACCTTTTTCCCTTTACTCTCGACAATGAAGATGAAATCTCCTTACACTACCCCACTCCCCAAAGTGGACTCATTTACGATAGTGCGCGATATCTCTGAAATTGTGGCAGTGCAAATACTCGATGAGGACGGGGTGGTTCTCAATTTTATCCAGGGGCACCCAGTTGTCTTCGGTGGGTGTGCGGCCCTTCCTGCGAATCAGGAGCCCGATCCTATGGGCTCCACGTGGGTCACAGACTTGGTGGCTCAGTATCTTTTCATGTGTGATGGCGGGCTCTGTCATTGGTCGAGTCATGCTGGAGGGGCGGTTGCGTGGCAGTTGACTTGTTGACGAAACGTATGGGCGGAGGAGGCTGACGTGGAACGACGGACTGAAGTACCAGACAGCAAGTAGGAGGAGGTGGGTAGTGACAAGTGTGATCGTGAGGTTGATGCGAAGTGGCCCGCAATATTGCGGGCGTAGGTTTGGAGTGACGGGCAGGCGGAGGTCCAGAGTATCGAGTAACACGAGGTCGTCGGGCTGGTATCCGACGGATCGGCGGTGGCGATCGGCGTTGCGATTAGCGATAAATGTTTTTTTTCTTTTGTTTAATGGCGTCTGCTGCACGAGCAGGCCCCCAGAAGTCATCGAAATTTCGCTGATTTGCCTTAAAAACTCTGATTTTCCAGCCTTTTTTTGTTATAATGCTGAAAGTTCAGGTTTTTTTTTTATGTGAACTCTGAATGTTCAGGTTTTTTTTAATAAGGGGAGGCTGTTTTTTCAGCTTTTTTTTTGCACTGTACTCTGATGCGTCATACTAGAAACGCGAACCAACGCTGAATTCGAGAACCCGAGATCTGCGGGGATTGCCGTGATCACCGCTCCATTTACATTATCGTTCTGTCAAGCCCGCCAGTACAGCGAATACAGCCAATATTTGGCGGGCAGCGACGTGGTGCGGCGCGGTTCGTTCCCCGTTGGCAATAGTGTCAGAATATTATGTTTCTCTAGTCTGCAGTGGGGTACTTTGTAGTGAGTACAACCCTGTTAGGGTTTTCTATATGTATCCCAATGTTTGCTAGTGAACTCATCCTCATTCTTTCGTCAATCATTCTCACAAATAGGTCACACAAACGTGAGTTGCCGATTGGTTGAGAAGGCAGCTTTCGACAGCGCACTCAACCCTCTTCTTGAACATGAACGTTCTGTACAGCCTCGTGCAGCCACACGTCACTGCACACACCAGCGCAGCGCTAGCTGCGCCTCGTAGATGCCGTGCATGGTAGGCAAAGGGGCACCCACAGGTTGGGGTTTCTTGATGTTCGAAGGGGCCATCATCTCCATCGCTTTCATGCACCCCGTACCAAGCCTCTTCCAGTCTGATTTCTGCGTGAGTGTCTGGGCTTCCTCATTTCTGCTCGGCACGCTCCCAGGCAAACATTATGGCTGTTCAAGAGGGCCTCGTGGCCGATGACGAGGACGACGATTGTGAGACCGCGCTCGAAGATGCTAGAACAGGGTTAGATCTACTGCTTAGGTCTCTAGCTCGCGATAAGGGGCCCCGTTCCCCACCTGTTGCTAAGTCAACCCCAGACAACCCTCCACCCGTCGACTTGAGCGAGGCTGATTCTATCGATGCAACGCCCCTCGAGCCTACTGTTGGGTCAGCTCCACACAACAACACAGTGACCCCCACTCCTAAGGATGTGGCACGCAACATCCGCCTGAAGCAAGCAACGCTCAGCTTCGGGAAGTCTTCTGCAACCACTGATGGCGACAACAACCGGGCTGGGCCGTCTAACCTGGAAAAGCCGCGGTGGAAACTCAACCTCGCTCAGCTCATTGACGATGTGTATGAGGATGCGTACGAGAAGTGGCTTGCGACGTGGTCGAGTCGGTTTCCTTGGCTGGTTCTAACTAAAACCGTGGCCGGTTTGCCTGCCTTTAAATGTAGTGTTTGTGCAGCTCACGCTGGTGATGCAGGCAAGTGCGGGAGGCGCGGCAAGGGGGCCATGGATGTTCAGACTCAAGCCTTTCGAAAGCACGCAGGAACTCAAAAGCACAAGCTGGCGATGGCGAAATACACCGCGCTTGTGGACGGCGGCAGCAGGCAACCACGCATCGATCAACACAGGGCGGCATGCGACGAGGATAAGCTGCGCGTCGTGGCCCTGCTGGACTCCTTGCTGTTCGTCAGCAAGTGTGACGCGCCCATGGGACTATGGGTGAAATTGGTGCGCTACCTGGCAGAGAAGGGTGTGAAGGGCTTCCCCAAGAAGGGTTACGGGACGTACTACACCACGTAAGCTCTTCGTTTTAGTCGCACAAACCTGGGATCTTGTTTCTATTTTTTTTTTTCACCATGCGTGACCTTAACTGATAATGTTGTTGCCTTGTTATCCAGGTACGGTTTCGGGGAGCTTACACAAGCGATGGCAACCTGGCTGCAAACGACCCAGATCGCGCAAGTGCTGGCCAGCCCCTTCGTCGGGATCTCCGTCGACGAAAGCACCGACCGCTGCAACGGGAAGCATCTAATTCTCTACGTCACTTTCATTCGAGACGACAGCATGGTCATCGAGTTCATGGCACTCCTGACCGTGGAGAAGGCAGATGCGGCATCGTTGTTGAGCCTCCTGCTGTCGCATGTACAGGCCGTCGGCATTGATCTCCGCCGGATTGCTGGGATCAGTACCGATGGGGCGAATGTCATGATGGGCTGCAAGTCGGGGCTTGTGACGCGCCTCCGCCTGCGCATACCTCACCTGGTGACCACACACTGCATCGCTCACAGGTAATGTCTTTTGCATTGTTGTTTCTTAATGATATTTCTAATGACTAGTTTTCTAACAACACTGTTTTTGTGTGCATGTACAGAGAGGCCCTTGCTGCGAAGGACGCTTCTGATGATATCCCAGACTTCAAGATTGTTGACAAGGTTATCCGGAACGTGGCAGAGCATCTCGGGCGTTCGGGGCCCTGGCACCAGCGCTTCCTCGGCCTCCAGGAGGTGTTCACGTCGACGTCCCTTGAGCTGCAGGGCATACATGCCGTGCGGTGGCTTTCGCGGGGAGACGCCGTCCTTCGGTTTCTAGCCGTCTTGCCAGCCGTCATTGTCATGCTCAAGGAGTATGACAAGAAAATGTTTGCCCTAGTGTCGAGCTACCGTTTCCATTTCCTCTTGAATTTCATCGCCGACGTGCTTGAGCAACTCAACATCCTCAACCGTGCGTTCCAGCACAAGGAGGTAAAGATGCTTTACAATCTGTTGTTACTTCGGTTTAGGGATCTCTACTGTAAGTGTTCTCTACTGACTCTTTTCCTCTGCCCCTCTGTGCCATCTATATCCTGTCTCTCCAGCTTGATTATGCTTCTCTCCATGCACAGATCAAGCGGACTACCTTCCACATCGAGAGCCGCTACGTCGACTATGGGGACGACTTCGGTGGAGGCATGAGCGAGCGGCTCTCTCCATTCCTGACGCAACATGGGCCGGGAGGGACGAGGGAGATGACAGTTGCCGGCATCGACTCGGACGGAAGGCCGACGGAGTTCTCGTTCGTGCTTCAAGAGGACCCAATGGAGGAGTTCGGCGGGCGTGGAACTTACGACGGATGCGTCGACGTCTGTACGGCGTTCGCAGAGATGATCGTCAGCAACATCCACGGAAGATTAGGCGACTTGGAGTCGCTGTCAGGGTCGAGACTGTTCACGCCTGACGCTTGGCCTCTGGACCGTGGCGAGCGTCACGCGCGGTGTGTCGAGTGACTGGAGTCCTTGATCACGCTGTTCAAGGCTGAGCTGAACGACAACATCTTGCCAGGTAAGCCAGTTAATGATGTAACTAGCGTTCAAGCACTGATGACGTAATTGATTGCCCCGCCCCTCTCCCCTCCCCCCCCGACAGGTATCAACAAGCGCCGTGTTGTGAAGGAGCTGCGGATGTTCACATCCGTGCTTGCGTCAGCCCACAAGACCAAGCGAAGTTTCCATGCTGGCCTCACAGCTATGCTGAAGACACCAGACTGGCGGGATAACTACCCCAACCTGGTGCAGCTGTGGGTGGCCGTTGCAGTTCTCCTGCTCAGCACTGTTTGTCAGAATGTGATGTTTGTGTAGCCTGCAGTGGGGTACTCTATAGCGAGTACAGCCCGAATTAGGGTTTGCTATATGTACTGAACTGCATGCTAGTGAAATCCCTCTTTCCTATTTCTTGTTTCTGCCTAGCATTTCAACATGCTATCAGAGCAGGTCGACCCTCCTGGGTCGATCCTGTGGGTGGGTCCCACCCGATGCTTCCACTGCTCTACTGCTTGTAGCGCGCCCCGGGCGCGTGCTGTTTCCTGCCTGCCGTGCGCTCCGAGGCGCGCGGCGGTTTTCTGCCCCGTCAAACCGTCGCGTCGCCCCCCGTCGCCCGACGCGGCCAGCGCGACCTGCGCCAGGCCCGCGCGCGGCCCGTACGGGCTGCGCCAGGCCCGCGCGCGACCCGTACGGGCTGCGCCAAGCCCGCGCGCGGCCCGTACAGCCCGCGCGCGGCCGGTACGGGCTGCGCCAGGCCCGCGCGCGGCCCGTACAGCCCGCGCGCGGCCGGTACGGGCTGCGCCAGGCCCGCGCGCGGCCCGTACGGCCTGCGCCAGCCCAGCGCGAGGCCCGTACGGGCTGCGCCAGGCCCGCGCGCGGCTCGGGCAGCTCGCGCGCGGTTCGTACGGGCTGCACCAGGCCCGTGAGCGGTCCCTCCTGTCTCCCCCCTTGCCGCACGCCGTCCCCCGAGCTCCTGACTGCGCCCCACCCCCGCTGCTGCCTGCGTTCCTGTTTTAGGGTTTGGGGGTGGAGGGTATGGGGGTGCCGGGTGTGTGCGCCGTCCCCTACTCCTCCTCCTCCTCCGTCTCCCGCTGCTGCAGCTGCCGCTGAGGGGGGTGGATGTGTTGGAGCCGTCGGAGTGGTACGAGGGGGGTGGTGTGTGAGCGGTGCTAGAGGTTCAATATGGGGAGTGTGAAAGGGGTGTGGGACAGTTGGGGGAGGTTGACCGGAGGTTGCCGTTGTGACGTCTGCAGCGCCAGTAGTCCGGGGGTTGAGTACTCCGGTAGCCCAGCGAGCCTGCTGCTGCCAGTCGCCCGTGGGTCTGTTGCTCCTGCTGCTGCTTAGCGCGGAGCCAGTTACTCCTGTAGTCCGGAGGTTGAGTGCTCCGGTAGCCACCGTGCGCGCCGTTCCTGTTGCCCGTGTGTCTGCGGCTTCACCCGTCGCCTTCTATCTTCACTCCTCTCACAGTCTCTCCTCCTCCTCACTTGCCCTCTGTGACTGCCTCTAGCCTTGCTTATCATTGTAAACTGTTGCTTTTTGTACTTGTGCTCAGAATGTGTGGTGACATTGTGATCCACCCTGAGCTTGTTTTCTGCTTTGCCTGCTTGTTGTTTTGATTGTACCCCACTTTGACTATGGGGGTGTGTCAGAATGTGATGTTTGTGTAGCCTGCAGTGGGGTACTCTATAGCAAGTACAGCCCGAATTAGGGTTTGCAATATGTACTGAACTGCATGCTAGTGAAATCCCTCTTTCCTGTTTCTTGTTTCTGCCTAGCATTTCAACACTGTTGAGTGCGAGCGCGGCTTCTCCAGGCAGAACATAATCAAGTCATGGCAACGGGGTTCACTGAAGGATGCAAGGCTGGGCGACCTCATGTGCATGAGCCCAATGAGCTACGAGCCAAACTGGGATGAGATTGTTGACATTTGGAGGAGCTACAAGAAGCGCAAGCCCCACAGCAATGCCCCTATCTTTGCAGGACAGCAGCAGAGCATGAAGGGAAAGGAGCAGTCAACAGATGCAGAGATGGTAGACCTAGATGATGTATTTGATGATGCTAGTGATGATGATGATGCTGATGATGAGACTGCTTGAAATGTTGTGCTTAGATTATTGAAGGTTCTACTATTCTATATATTGACTATGTTGCAAGAAAATAGGGCCTAGACCAAGATCTATGGTTCAGTAATACCAGTTATCAACATAATCAACCTAAAAAAAATTGTAACTCTAATTGTTCAGCCTGTACTGGTGGCAGTACACTGAAATTTCAGCCTTTTTATTTTTTTTCGAAGTCTGATCAATCAGCCTAAAACTACGTCACAAGACCGACGAATCAGACAGGCCAAAAACGAATCTGAGGGCCTGTGCACGAGTCCAAACGCTTAGTGATGCGATTTGATTTCGGCAAATTGTTGCGCGTATGGGACGAGGTTGTCGGGGCTCGTGCTTGGATGACGGGGTCCAGTTGTCCTCACTAGACACGCAGACGCGTCTTGGGTTGACGACTTGGCTACGCAGCGGTCGTCACAGGGTTACACTTTCAGCCTTGGCTCCGGCTCTGTTTCTTGGCGGTCTACCCGCTCGTCTTCTGTTCTTAGTTCCAGTTGTGAGGCTGAGATCCACGCAGGGGCCATGGCTGCACAAGATTTACGCTGGCTCACCTACCTGCTGATTGACCTAGGAGAGCGGCCTCGTTCTGCTTCATTTCTGTCCGTAGACAACAAGGCCATGATTGCCTTGTGTCAGGAGCACAGACTGGAGCACAGAACGAAGCACATCGCTCTGCGTTACTTCCTTGCTCGAGATTTGCAGCAGCGTGGTCAGCTTCGTCTTGCTTACGTGGCCACTCGGGCCAACACCACTGATATATTCACCAAGGCACTTCAGCCTGGTGATCATCAGCGTTTCTGTACTGTTTAGGCCTTGTGTCTACTTTGCCTCACTTGCTCATGTCAGAGGTCCACTGGTGATCCCCGATTGATCCTAAGGAAGGGTTACAGGCTCGTTGTCCTGGGGGGTTATGGGCGCACTGACCCGCTACTTAACAAGCCCTTTTATCCCAATGATCTAGTGGTTGGGATTCTGACATGGTATCAGAGCGGTTTCGGGTTCGAATCCCAGTGTGTGCACTTCGGGCATCCCAGTGCGGGGGGGTGTCAGAGGTCCACTGGTGATCCCCAATTGATCCTAGGGAAGGGTTACAGGCTCGTTGTCCTGAGGGGTTATGGGCGCACTGATCCGCTACTTAGTACAGTAAGCCCTTTTATCCCAATGTTCTAGTGGTTGGGATTCTGACAGCTCACTGCGTGACTTTGCTTGTACTGTGATCTATATATATATCTGCATGTTTACACTTGCTAGGTTATGATCACTGTACTGTTTGTTCTTTTTTATACTCTGCATGTGAACTGGCCTTGTGGCCATTTGCTTGTGCTCAGAGTGTGTGGTGATTTTGTGATCCACGTTGAGCTTGCTTTGCTTTTTCTTGACTGGTCTTGGGACCACTTATTCTCCCCCACTTTGCCTATGGGGGTGTGTCAAAATGTTATAATACTTATATTGTGTAGGTGTCAGAGGTCCACTGGTGATCCCCGATTGATCCTAGTTAAGGGTTACAGGCTCGTTGTCCTGGGGGGTTATGGACGCACTGACCCGCTACTGAACAAGTCCTTTTATCCCAATGGTCTAGTGGTTGGGATTGTGACAGTAGGCTATAGTGGGGTAGTCCATAAGAAGTACAACCCAATTAGGTCTAGTAATTGTACCGTATCACCCCAGATAGAAACGCAGGCCTATTATAAGCGCATGCGCTTCTATCTGGAGCAATGCGCTTATGGCCAATCCTCAATTATAAGCGCACCCCCTGTGAAAACGTTACTTATTATAAGCGCATGTATAATTTTAAATTAAAATGTCTGTTCGAAACGGTAGCGAGTTTCAATTTTGAAGCGAGTACAATCTCATTTTCGCTGAGTTTGACTCTCGAAGACCTGACTGGCTGCGCGTCCAGTCAGGATGTACTGGCATGACTGCAAAGTGTCGCATCTTGGCCCTGTGCTGGAAGAGAATCGCTTGCAGTAGATTCTGCATTGTGACGCGAAAATTTTCGACTCGGTTGAAATGGCAAGAGTGAAACATAAATTTTGGTGTCTTAAATTTATAAATTCGTATATGTCATTATATAAGCGCATGCGCTTATAAAATTGACTCAATTAGAAGCGCACCCCCCTAAAAAACTCTGCTTTATTATAAGCGCAGGTGCGCTTCTATCCGGGGTAATACGGTACCAACTTTCTGCTCAATGCATTCATTCTCGTTCACTATTCTGACACAAAATAAAGCAAGAAATCAACTTTCGTCACATAAAATAGGATGCAACGATATAAGTACGTATTTGCAACATCCAGTGCTTCACGGAAATGAGGGTCTTAAAATTTTGATATCAACTGCGGGTCCTCAACAGATAGGACAAAAAAGCATTCAGCCCTCGAATGAAAGACCCCTAGGACACTTATACTGTAACTGGTGCGTCATTTATCCGGGAAAATACAGTATCATGCATTCACATTCACAGCATAGAATAGCGCTCCCACTTTCAATAAACATGGGAAGTGAGCAAGTTTGTTTCCCTGAGCGGAACAACTGAAGATAAGCTACAGTATTCACGCCGAATTTCACGATGCCAAAGAACAAAACACAAAGATATGCTATGCATATGAGTACAAACAAGAGGGCACACATTACAGGGGGCTAACACACTAATGAGGTTGCTACTTGCTGTCAGGCAGCAACACATCTCCACCATTGGGAGCCAGGCCAGCCTATTTTCCATCCTCCCATTCCTCCCCCACCAGCGGAATTACTCCTCTGGGGCGTCCTCTGCATACATGCAAGAAACAGGGAGAAGTGGGCAAAGCGGGAGGGACGAGGGGGAGCAGGGGAAGGTGGGGCACTTACTGACGTTTGACCCTGATCAACCAGTGGAGAGGAATGCAAGAGAGAGTCTAAAGAGAAAAGACAGGCAGCACTGTTACTGGAGAGGAATACAGAAGAGGGTGTAAAGAGAAGGAGCGGGAGTGAAATGAAGGAGAGAGAAGCAGCATACGCACCAGTGGCACAGCGAGCAGACTTCACTGATGAGGCAATCGCCTTAGACCTGCCCACGTGGGAGGGTCATGCAAGGGGGCGCAATGAGGCACGGCAGTGGGCAAGTCAGGGAGGGTAGGAGTGCGTGTGTGGGAGAGTGAGTGACTGTGAGCGAGAATGTGTGTCTGTGTGTGTCCTTCGAACTCCCCCTCGCTGCCCTTGCCCAACTCACCCCTTGCCCCACTCACCCCTTGCCCCACTCACCCCTGTGTGCCCAACTCACCCCTTGCCCTTCACGAGAGTGTCCACGGCCGTTCCCTTGCAGTCCGGCGCAGCAAAGAACTGAATCTCCTTGCATGCCGCCTTCCCCACCTGCTGCCATGCCACCTGCACCTTCTTCTTCCCGCGCCCCGCCCCGCCCCGAATGGTGACACAGCGGGAGAAGGTGAAGGCAAAGGAGCGCCCCTGCACCTTCATCCTCGTACCCACCACCGCCACTCGGGTGCCATGGGTGCTGCCTTTGCCACGGGTGCTGCCTTTGCCACGGGTGCTGCCTTTGCCTCGGGTGTTGCCTTTGCCACGGGTGTTGCCTTTGCCACGGGTGTTGCCTTTGCCACGGGTGTTGCCTTTGCCAGGGGTGTTGCCTTTGCCACGGGTGTTGCCTTTGCCAGGGGTGCTGTCTTTGCCAGGGGTGCTGTCTCCCTCGTTGACCGCCTCCTTCACTGCCTCGCCGCCCGCCTCCTTCACTGCCTCGCCGCCCGCCTCCTTCACTGCCTCTCCGCCCGCCTCCTTCACTGCCTCGCCGCCCGCCTCCTTCACTGACTCGCCGCCCGCCTCCTTCACTGCCTCGCCGCCCGCCTCCTTCACTGCCTCGCCGCCCGCCTCCTTCACTGCCTCGCCGCCCGCCTCCTTCACTGCCTCGCCGCCCGCCTCCTTCACTGCCTCGCCCCCCGCCTCCTTCACTGCCTCGCCCCCGCCTCCTTCACTGCCTCGCCCCCGCCTCCTTCACTGCCTCGCCGCCCGCCTCCTTCACTGCCTCGCCGCCCGCCTCCTTCACTGCCTCGCCGCCCGCCTCCTTCACTGCCTCGCCGCCCGCCTCCTTCACTGCCTCGCCGCCCGCCTCCTTCACTGCCTCGCCGCCCGCCTCCTTCACTGCCTCGCCGCCCGCCTCCTTCACTGCCTCGCCGCCCGCCTCCTTCACTGCCTCGCCGCCCGCCTCCTTCACTGCCTCGCCGCCCGCCTCCTTCACTGCCTCGCCGCCCGCCTCCTTCACTGCCTCGCCGCCCGCCTCCTTCACTGCCTCGCCGCCCGCCTCCTTCACTGCCTCGCCGCCCGCCTCCTTCACTGCCTCGCCGCCCGCCTCCTTCACTGCCTCGCCGCCCGCCTCCTTCACTGCCTCGCCGCCCGCCTCCTTCACTGCCTCGCCGCCCGCCTCCTTCACTGCCTCGCCGCCCGCCTCCTTCACTGCCTCGCCGCCCGCCTCCTTCACTGCCTCGCCGCCCGCCTCCTTCACTGCCTCGCCGCCCGCCTCCTTCACTGCCTCGCCGCCCGCCTCCTTCACTGCCTCGCCGCCCGCCTCCTTCACTGCCTCGCCGCCCGCCTCCTTCACTGCCTCGCCGCCCGCCTCCTTCACTGCCTCGCCGCCCGCCTCCTTCACTGCCTCGCCGCCCGCCTCCTTCACTGCCTCGCCCCCCGCCTCCTTCACTGCCTCGCCGCCCGCCTCCTTCACTGCCTCGCCGCCCGCCTCCTTCACTGCCTCGCCGCCCGCCTCCTTCACTGCCTCGCCGCCCGCCTCCTTCACTGCCTCGCCGCCCGCCTCCTTCACTGCCTCGTCTGCTGCCTGCTTGTTGCTGTCAGTTAGGAGATTGCCGGCCGCGTCTGCTGCCTGCTTGTTGCTGTCAGCCGGGACATTGCTGGCCGCGTCTGCTGCCTGCTTGTTGCTGTCAGTCAGGAGATTGCCGGCCGCGTCTGCTGCCTGCTTGTTGCTGTCAGGCAGGACATTGCCGGCCGCGTCTGCTGCCTGCTTGTTGCTGTCAGGCAGGACATTGCCGGCCGCGTCTGCTGCCTGCTTGTTGCTGTCAGTCAGGAGATTGCCGGCCGCGTCTGCTGCCTGCTTGTTGCTGTCAGGCAGGACATTGCCGGCCGCGTCTGCTGCCTGCTTGTTGCTGTCAGGCAGGACATTGCTGGCCGCGTTTGCTGCCTGCTTGTTGCTGTCAGGCAGGACATTGCCGGCCGCGTCTGCTGCCTGCTTGTTGCTGTCAGTCAGGAGATTGCCGGCCGCGTCTGCTGCCTGCTTGCTGCTGTCAGGCAGGACATTGCGGGTCGCGTCTGCTGCCTGCTTGTTGCTGTCAGCCAGGACATTGCTGGCCGCGTCTGCTGCCTGCTTGTTGCTGTCAGGCAAGACATTGCCGGCCGCGTCTGCTGCCTGCTTGTTGCTGTCAGCCGGGACATTGCTGGCCGCGTCTGCTGCCTGCTTGTTGCTGTCAGGCAGGACATTGCCGGCCGCGTCTGCTGCCTGCTTGTTGCTGTCAGGCAGGAGATTGCCGGCCGCGTCTGCTGCCTGCTTGTTGCTGTCAGTTAGGAGATTACCGGCCGCGTCTGCTGCCTGCTTGTTGCTATCAGGCAGGGCATTGCTGCCGGGGTCCGTTGCTTCGTTGGTGCTCGTGTCGACTAATGAATCGCTGCCCATGACTAGGTGACTAGCTGCGAGGGGGGTAGAGAAGGGGAAGAAACGAAAGGAGGGTGCGCTTGTTTGCACTTTTGAGAGTGTGAGCAGGGGTCTGTGAGTGTGAACTGATTGCCATGGGCTGAAAGCATCAAAGGCGTGTTGACAAAGACGCATTGCACGGGGCCACGGAGGGTGCAAGGCGTGTTGACGAAGCATGGAAGGAAAAGAGCCTCTTTTTCTCTGAACAGGAGGGGCAGAAGGCGTGTTGACAACAGGATGAGAAAAGGAGGAGGCGTACCGGTGAAGAGCGCGACGAGGAAGACGCGAATCACGACCGTCGCACTCCCCATCTTCCGCATCCTCGGTTGAGTCCCCATCAGCCGCGCAGCACACATGTAAGATCACGGAGAGCGAGAGGAGAGGTAGTGGAGTGCCGTGCTACAAGCGCGCTGACGGTGGGAGAGCGAAAGGAGAGGAGCTTCGTTTGGAAGCTCGGCTTGAAAGCTTCGCCGTTTGAAGGGAAGCGGCTGCGATGGACTCTGCTGCTCATCGCTGCTGCTCTCGTCTCCGTTTATACCTGATCGCCTCTCCAACCTCGCCTCACCCATCACTCGCATCGCGCCACACCCTCCGAACCTCTTGTGGTGCATGGGAAATCCCCGAGCCTGAACCAACGTGTCAAGCAGCGCGAGGAACGCTGCGACGAGGCTTAGTGGAATGGCAGAGGCGATGAGGGGAGTAGCTTTGTCTGCTGCACGCAAGCGTCGCTAGTCTAGCGACGAGGTAGTATGAGCGCTAACAAACGCGTTCCCAATGCGCCTGAAAAGGTCGCCATTGGCGTGCGACGATCCCCAGAATATTCGCAATTCGCTACTCGCAGCTACTAGTAGCGGAAAACGCTAGGCCGTGGCGAAGAGGATCCGATATCGCAAGGAACGCGGTCATGGTTAGTGCGACTCCTTCGTGCGGTATATTCCAGCCCGACTTCTACTGGTTTCACACTCAATAGGAATCGTTGGCCCTGTTCACCAGGACGCCTTGTGGATACGGAACGAGATCGGGTTGATTGCAGAGATGTGCATGCGACAATGTGGTCAAACGGAAGGAATAATGGAATGGAAGGTTTGGTGGTTTATTGGTCGGCCAAGTTCTTTCACTGCAATAATGTCGGTATTTATTATGGTGCGGAACGATTCGAGGCGATGGATTTCGTGTCCGTCTCTAAACGTTGTTTATCGTACTTAACCGCGTCAAACCAGCCTAGTTCGAAGTTAGGTTGACCCCCTGAAAATTATTTGTTTGAACACGTGTGACCCTTCCAGGAGGTTGATTCGTTTGAAACACGAAGATGGACATTATGAAGTGAGGAGATGTTATAAGAGAAGTAATGTTATATGAGTTATAGTTTCACTTACATGTACTATCTAGCAGTTAAAACTACGCTTGAACTGCAATAGAAGTGCCTTGACAACTGCAGATCAATTACATCGAATAAATGGACTCCCGACACGAGCCCAAACTTGCGCCACGTCGGATGTGTTACAATATGGAAATGTTACGTACCGTAATCATTCAGAAAGTGTTACAATCCTAAATAGGACTTAGCCAGGGATCGGCTCAGGGTTGATCGCAGGTGATTTGTTGCAGCGGAAGTGTTTTGAACTCAGATTAGAGGGGACGTATAGATGACTGAGGTAACAAAAACTAAGGGAGAACGAAACGTCCTAGCTAGCCAAATACTCTAAGGGTACATTCCGCGCTGGACATGTCCCAATTGAAAGTGTCCCAATCGTTTCTACCGCACTGCATCGTATTATACCAAATTGCACCCTCGTTTCGAAATTTCCGCGTCTCTGGTTTAGTTCCGTTCGGAGCGGTACACTCGATTGGGACACATCGATTGGGACAGTGTCCACAGCGGAATGTACCCTAAGGGGTACATTCAGGGCTGATTTTATCAGGGTAATTACCCTGATTTCAGGGTGATTTCAGGCTTCTCACCTCGTGATCCCTGTGAAATCAGGTTTTTCACATTTTGGTCCCTGATCCATTCAGAGTATTGATTTAGCGGAGCCTGAAATTCTCAATACACTCTCAGTGTAGTGTTTTCATGGACCCTGTCAATACAGAGTACGCGACCTGTGGACCCTGAAAGTGATGTTATCTGAACGAAGCTTCGTAGAACCTTCATTCCGATACCCCCCCATGTGGGTAATTATGATTTCGCACCTAACCATGTGGGGGCTTCGTTTCACGCGCACTAGTGACAAGAACCGACACAGAACACAACTGTCCTTTGTACAGCATCGATGTACAGCACAGCTGTCAAATTTGACAACGCACCTAGAAGCATCATATATACTGCCACGCGCACCGCGCAAATCACAATACGTGTCCCTCATTGGAGGGAGACACTTAGTGGCTGTCGTCGCTGGCAGTGAAGTTGTCGTTCAATGTATTCGGCCTGCATGAAAGGCCGAATACAATGACGGCTTGTAGTTTCGACCACCGCGCCATCAATTTCGTGGCGACGCGGTGGATTCTTGCTGACCCCACCTTCTCCCTCCATCTCTTGCTTCCCCCCTCCCACAGCCAGGGTCTTGTTGGTGCTGCTGTTATGTTTCCCTTTTTTCAATTCATTTCTCCGTTTCTCTCTCTCCCCATCTCTAGCTTCTCCCCGCCATGGAAGACCAGCAGGCTGACGAGGACACGCCTCAGGCTGGCTCAGATGAGCCACCGTTACCGCCGAAAGCCACGGAGCCACGCTCGGGGATTGATTTTCTTAGAGGTTCCGCTGCTCCAGTAACACCGGATCCACCTAGGTCTACCGTAGATGATTCTGCAGTTAAAGACACGCCCACGGCCACACCTGAAGAGTCTCCCCGGGAGGCCGCCTTCACTATACCCCCGGCTGTTGCTTCTTGCAGCAAAGATCCCCAACCGACCGCGCCAAGTCCCACACCAAGCACCGTTGGTGTGTCCGTTGGTCCTCCGTCGGCTACCTCCACACCGAAGAGAGCGCGTTCAGGGAAGTGGGCGCAGCATACCCTGCTCGTCGGAGGCCGCCGACTTTCTGCTTCGAACACTCCGGCTGATCCACCACCTGCTGCATCTGCACCGCCAGAGGAAGATGTGTTCCCGATCCGTGCGGACACCGGCTCGCCCGCCCTCACCAAGGCGCAGCTGCGGGAGCAGATGTTCCTGGAGGCCAGCATCATGTACGATACGAGGTGGTCGGGACAGTTCTCCTGGCTTGTGTTCGGAAAAACCAAGGATGGGTTTCCCTATGTGAAGTGCAGTGTCTGCATGGCCTACGGGAAGGAGAACACGAGGTACGCGAGGCAGGGTGATGACGGAGGCCGTGACATGCAGACGCAGGCGTTTCGCGCACACGAGCACACGGACGCGCACAAAGCGGCTGTTGACCGGCAGCTGAAGATTGCGAGAGGCATCCGCGAGGGGCAGCAAGTGATTTCGAACTTCATCAACTCGGACGTCGAGGGCAGGCGCGCCGTCCGACTGTTGCGGTCGGTTGTGTTTCTGTGCAAGTGCGACGCGCCGATAAGCATGTACCCTAGGCTGATGCGGCATCTCGCGGAGCAGGACACGCCCCGAGACAGTCTTACGGTGTTTATCTCACACGGTAGGACATTTTAGTTACAATCTTGCTGTATTGAATTCGTGGTAATGAAATATTTTCCCCCAGAAAGACTAACTGAAGGACCTACATCTCTGCGCAGGTACGGCTTCCAGCAGATGGTTCACTGCCTCAGTACGTACTTGACGGATGCGCAGATGGACCACATCAACTCCTCACCGTTCCTGGGCCTGCAATGCGACGAGAGCACTGACCGAACGCGTGGTAAACACATGATTGTTTACCTGGCCTTCATCAAGGACCGCCGAGTCGTCACCGAGTTCTTCACCCTCCTGACTGTGGAGAAGTGTGATGCTGCGTCCCTGTTCGAGGTGCTCATGAATCATCTGCGCTCCGCAGCCGTCGACGTGTCGAAGCTTGTCGGAATCAGTACGGACGGGGCTTCGGTCATGACGGGGAAGGACAACGGATTGGTGGCGCGGATCAGGGAGCACGCCCCGCATCTCTTTTCCTGTTACTGCATCGCGCACCGGTAAGATTTAGTGCCAGTTATTGATCCAGTTCATGTTGCTTGTCTGATTTCTACTCAACACTTATTAACGTCGTCTATTGCAAGGAGGCGCTGGCTGTTAAGGACGCGGCGACGTCCAACCCCGACCTCGGCATGGTGGACAATGTGGTGCGCACCGTGGCGGCAAAACTAGGAGATTCTTCAGTCTGGAGCCAACGGTTCAAGTACCTGCAGCGTATGATCTACAACACTAACCTCGAAGTCCAGGGGATCCACACAATTCGCTGGCTCTCACGTGGAGATGCGGTGCGACGGCTGTGCAAGGTGCTCGGTGCGTGTATCGTTCTTCTGTGGGAGCGGAGTCACAAGGTGTACGAGATCGTCACGTGCTACAAGTTCCAGTTTTGCCCGTTCTTCCTCGCCGACATCCTCGCCGACATGAACGACCTCAACCGCTGTTTCCAGAAGCGAGATGTGAGTTTGTTTAATCTTCCACGAACACGCCTCTGCTAGTGTCTCCAATTTCTCGAGTGTTGGATGTAAAATGACATGTCCTGTATGACTGTGCACTTACAGATTGATGTGACAGAGATTGCGAAGACCATCGAGGCCACCACGACGGATCTGACTGAGCGGTATTTGGATACGGACAAGCAGTTCGGTGGCGAGGGCAAGTGCTGGCTGGTCGGCTTTCTGAAGCTGCACGGGCATGGTGGAGGCAAGAAGGTCCGAGTGAGAGGCGTGGACGGGGAGGGACGCCCAGTGAACCATCTGTACACCATGCACGAGCGGAAGCTCCCGGGGCACAAGGTGGGGAGCGGATACGAGGAGTGCGTGAAGCTGTGCCACACTTTCGCCCGCGATTGCATAGACAATCTCAACGAGCGGCTTGATGACCTGGGGAAGCTGGGGCCGACGAAGCTGTTTCGGGCCGGAAAGTGGCCGAAGATCAAGGCACAACGGGAGAAGAAGTGCCGTGAGTGGCTTCTGGGATGCAGCAAACTCTTCCGCCACAAGCTGCCGGGATTCGACCTCAAGGCCGCAGAGAGGGAGCTTCCCACATTCTGTGCGATCATGGAGGTGCACCACGAGCTGGAAAAATTCACGCAGGGACTGACCAACATTCTCGGGAGCGCGGACTCGAAGAGGTATGTCCCCGTAGTGTGACAGCATGGTATGCCATGCGGGAGTCTAATGTATTTTGTGCATGTGGTCACTCTGTTTCCCACCCATCTCCGACAATGTGCCTGGCAGGAGGTGGCCCAACCTCGTCCTCCTGTGGCAGGCGATTGCGGTGCTCCCCCTGTCAACTGTGGAGTGCGAGAGAGGATTCTCGAGGCAAAATGTGATCAAGTCTTGGGTGCGCGGCGCTCTCTGCAACGCGCGGCTGGGGGAGCTGATGCAGATTTCGCTCCTGAATTACAACATCGAGTGGCTGGACGCCCTGGAGGTCTGGAGGTCTATGAGGAGGAGGCGCCCCGCAAAGAGCGTGAAGCTTGCTGTGGCTGATCGCGAAAGGAGGGGGAAAGCAAAGGAGGGTGAAGTCGAAGCAGGAGCTGCCCACCAGAACGATGGGGAGGAGGACGAGGAGGAGGAGGAGGTGGATGTGGAACAGGCCCTAGGCGACGATCAGGAGCTTGTGGGGGAGGAGGAGGAGGAGGACAATCCCTTCATTTCGGACGATGAGGATGTGGAGGAAGTGTTCCACATCGATAGGCCTGTGCACTAGAGTAGAGTAGATGTAGGAGGAAATTTGTTACAGGCTGTACATTGCATTAATCACCCTAGTAAAATTTGAAACACAACCCTGAATTCAGGCTGTCGACCCTGACTCATCAGAGTGACTAGTTGTTGAACCCTGAGCCATCAGGGTGACAATCTCCTGAACAATGTGCACTCATAATCGAGGGAAAAAAAAAATTTTAGCGGCATCAGGGAGCCCTAAAGTGAAACGCCACCCTTGGGTACATTCCCTTATTACATCGAATTTATACAGTGCGGCGTAGGAACTCGTTTCAAACTTGTTCCCACAATTTTCACTTTGAATGTTTCTGCCTGCATCGGTCTTGATTTGACGGTCGCTGATGTCGCTTCGGTTCTTCTGACTCCTCGTCTTCGTACTCGGTAAGGTCTGCCCATGTATCGTATAGGAATGTTTACTCATTATGTGCATATCTCAACACCCCCCTTCATTCCTGGGCCTGTCGGGAGATGACTCGCTTGACCACTCCGGTGAGGTTGTAGCAGTGCTGGTACTGCTGACGTGATAGTCGCTCGGTGAGAAAGTCAGCTGCAATCTCGGTGGTTGGGCAGTATGTCAGGTCGACTTTGCCTTGATGAATTTCGTCCTTGACGAAAAATTATCGCAGCGCGATGTGCTTTGTTCGATTGACGAAGTCGGGCTTGTTCGCGATTTTGATCGCGCTCTTATTGGAATTTGGGCGAAAGTTGGGCGAAGTTGTGTCAGAATCCCAACCACTAGACCATTGGGATAAAATGGCTTGTTAAGTAGCGGGTCAATGCGGCCATAACCCCCCAGGACAACGAGTCTGCAACCCTTCCCTAGGATCAATCGGGGATCACCAATGGACCTCTGACACCCCCCCGCACTGGAATGCCCGAAGTGCACACACTGGGATTCGAACCCGAGACTCTTGCTCTGAAACCATGTCAGAATCCCAACCACTAGACCATTCGGATAAGAGGGCTTATTAAGTAGCGGGTCAGTGCGCCCATAACCCCCCAGGACAACGAGCCTGTAACCCTTCCCTAGGATCAATCGGGCATCCAGTGCGGGGGGGTGTCAGAGGTCCACTGGTGATCCCCGATTGATCCTAGGGAAGGGTTACAGGCTAGTTGTCCTGGGGGTTATGGGCGCATTGACCCGCTACTTAACAAGCCCTTTTATCCCAATGGTCTAGTGGTTGGGATTCTGACATGGTACCAGAGCGAAGGTCTCAGGTTCGAATCCCAATGTGTGCACTTCGGGCATCCCAGTGCGGGGGGGTGTCAGAGGTCCACTGGTGATCCCCCATTGATCCTAGGGAAGGGTTACAGGCTCGTTGTCCTGGGTGGTTATGGGCGCACTGACCCGCTACTTAACAAGCCCTTTTATCCCAATGGTCTAGTGGTTGGGATTCTCACAAGTTGAAATTTTTGCCTACTGCACGAGCTCTTGCAAATATAGTCCTTCGCAAACTGCAGCATTTGCGGCGATATACTCTGCTTCGGTTGACGATAGGGTAACCAGCTCCTGCTTTTCCGAGTTCCAGGATATTGGGCTTGTAGGTTCCAGGCGGAAGACGAAGCCGGTTCGTGACCGTCGATTGGCAGGGTTAGCGGCATGATTTGCGTCCACGTAGCTATTAAGGTTGAAGGACGTTGTTTTCAGCGTGGAGTAGGAGAGGCCGCTGATTTGAAGTACTGTATGTCAAACTTATATGCTATAGTCTGTTTAGGCTGTAGTGGGGTAGTTCTTACAGGGTACAACACTTTTAGGTTTCCTATATGTACCCACCTGCTTTCTAGTTCAGTCATTCATTCGCTCACATTCTAACATGGTATTCTGAGCAGGTTCCCTAGTGGGAACGTTTTTTTAGGGCCCACCACGAAATTTCTCCTGTCCTGCCCGAAGCGCGCATCGCGCCCTGCCTTAGACGCCCGTCGCTGGCCCGCCGCCACGCGTCGCGGCCCCTTTGCTGCCCATCGCGGCCCCTTCTCAGCCTGTCGCGGCCCCTTAGCCGCCCGTCACGGCCCCTTAGCCGCCCGTCGGCCCCTTAGCCGCCCAACACGGCCCCTTCGCCGCCCGTCGGCCCCTTTGCCGCCCGTCGGCCCCTTTGCCGCCCGTCCCGGCCCGTCGCCGGTCAGTCCCGGCCTCTTTGCCGCCCGTCAACCGCCTGTCACGGCCCCTTAGCCGCCCGTCGGCCCCTTAGCCGCCCGTCGGGCCGGCATTAGCCGCCCACAGCGGCCCCGCGCACGTCAACTGCTGGCCCGTCTCGGCCCCTTTGCTGCCCGTCGACCGCCAGTTCCGGCCCGCCCGTCACGGGACGGTCGCCGCCTGCTGCGGCCCTGTCCTGAAGCCGCCCCCGGTCGCGGCCCTGCCCTACAGCCGCCCCCCCTACCGCGGCCCTGACCTAAAGCCGTTAGATGCGGCCCTGCCCTGCACCCGCCCCTGGTAAGCACCCGCGCCGTGCCGCGCCGCCAGGAACTGAGCCGCGCCGCCCAGCCGAGCCGCGCCGCCCAGCCGAGCCGCGCCGCCCTGCACTGCCCTACTGCCTCTGATGCTACTGCTGCTACTGCTGCTACTGCTGCAACTGCTGCTACTGCTGTTACTGCTGCTACTACTGCTCCTACTGCTACTATGGCTAGCCCTACTGTTCTCACCTTTGATGCTGAGGGACGTGCAGTTGACTTTGACGTGTGGGTTGACGGCCTGCAGCATTTTCTTCAGTGTGATTCTAGGGATGGGGTATCCCTTTTCGATCACACGTCCGGTGTTTCTACTGCTCCTGCTGCCACTGCTGACAGTACGGTTTGCTCGCAGTGGACCACTCGTGACGCTGTTGCTCGTCTTGCTGTTCGTAGTCACCTGCCGCCTACTGAGCGTGCGCATTTCGGCCAATACAAGACTGCTCAGTCTTTGTACGACGCTGTAGTTGCGTGCTACTCCTCCCCTACCACTGCTGCCCTCAGCCGCCTCATGCTGCCGTACCTTTTCCCTGACCTTGCTGCCTTTGCCACAGTCGCTGACCTAGTTGCTCACCTCCGCACTAGTGACGCCCGCTACCGCGCTGCCCTTCCCACTGAGTTCTGTGCCAAGAACCCCCCCCCCCATGTACATCACCCTTTACTACCTAGTCACCCGCCTCCCTGACTCCCGTTCTTCAGTCAGGGACCACTTTCTCTCCCTTTGCCCCACCGAGCTCACTGTCGACCTGCTAGAGGAGCGCCTTGCTGCAGCTGAGAAGAGTATCTTAGCTGTAGGTGCTTCTCGCGGCGACCGTTGCACCCCTTTCTTTGAGGGGTGTTCCCCTGTCTCCCTTCTCCCCTCTGTTGCTTCTGCTGCTGCTGTTGACCTCGTTGGCACTGAGGAGGTCGGAGCTGCGTCTGCCCCTAGTGGGAGACGCCGCAACAACAAGGGCAAGGGGAGCAAGGGTGGTGGAGGGGGCGGCGGGGGAGGCGGTGGAGGAGGTGGAGGAGGCGGAGGGGGTGGCGGTGGTGGTGGGGGTGGTACCGGGAGTGGGGGCTTCAGTGGCGGCGGTGGAAGTGGTGGAGGCAGCGGCGGAGGTGGTGGAGGCAGCGGCAGCGGTGGTGGAGGTGGCGGCGGCGGTGGTGCTGGTCGAGGTGCAGCCGCGCAGCGTGGAGGCTTTGGTGGTAGCCAGCGCCAGCAGCAGCCGCGCTCCCGTGAGACCCCGTCGGCCCAGCAGCTTCGTGGAGGTGCTGGCGGTGCTACTGGTGCTGGAGGTGCTGCTGGTGCTGGGGCTGCTGGAGCTGCTGGAGGTGCTGCTGGTGCTGGAGCTGGTGGAGCTACTGGAGGTGCTGCTGGGACTGGAGACCCAAGGGCTGAGGGTACCGGTTCTGTCTCTGCTGTTTCTGGAGGCGCTGCGCGGCCGCGGCCGTACTACGTTCCACTCCTTCAGCAGGTTCTTGGTTCCCCGCCTTCTCCTGGTCCTCCTCCTACTTTCCTGAGTCCACTGCCTGTCCAGTCCCAATCGCAGTTACAGCCGGCCTCTCCACTGCGTGGTCTCTCTCCTTACTCTGGACCGACTAGAGGTCTTACGGAGCATCGTGAGCCTGAGTCACGTCCTGTGTCGCCTGAGTCTCGTTCTACGTCGCCTGTCCGTACTGTTCGCGCTGGTCGTGTTTCGCGTCCGCGTCCTCCTCCTGTCCCTGGCACTCACTCTATGACTCTGCGTCCTTCCACTGCTCCACAGCGTGTCCCTCTGCCGTCTCCTCCTGTGTCCTCTCTTCCTGATGGTCCGGACCCTGAGTCTGACTCCGTTCATGCCACTCGTCCAGCTGTCACGCGCTTTCTGGCCACTGCTGTCACTGGCCCTTTGTTTGAGTCCACTGCTGCGTCTGCTCTTGTTGCTGAGCTTGTTGACTTTGCTGTAGCTTGTCGCCTAGACTATGCCACTAGTCTTGTTGCTGAGTCTGCGTCTGCGTCTGTCTGTCCTCCGTCCGTCGGGGGTGAGTGTGCTCTTGGCACGGACGTTCTTGAGGACAGACAGGAGGAGTTTGAGTGCTTTGCCGCTGCTGTACCTCATCTCGTGTCCATGCTGCTTGCCCCTGAGGGAGACCCGGATGCACCAGACATCCCGACCCCGCGCTCTTACGCAGAGGCGATAGAAGGTCCCTACTCCTCTCAGTGGCAGGCAGCCATGGACGCCGAGATGGCTTCTTGGAAGTCCACAGGCACCTACGTCGACGAGGTTCCCCCGCCTGAGGCGAACATCGTCAGTGGCATGTGGATCTTCAGGGTGAAGCGGCCGCTGGGTTCTTCGCCTGCCTTCAAGGCGCGTTACGTTGCACGTGGCTTCAGTCAGCGAGAGGGAGTTGACTTCTTCCAGACCTTCTCCCCTACCCCGAAGATGACCACTCTTCGGGTACTGCTGCACGTTGCCGCTCAGCGTGACTATGAGCTCCACTCACTTGACTTCAGCACAGCCTCCCTACAGGGCAGCCTGCACGAGGAGATCTGGCTGCGCCGCCCACCTGGCTTCACTGGGT